AAGAATCGCGGACTTCTCATGGTTGTCGAGGAATTTTGCGGTCTGCGGATAGTCAGGGAGGAGCCAGAACGTTATGATACCCATTAATACTGCAGGTATGCCATCTGTGACGTTTAATTAGTGAATGTTGAGGGTTTGTGCCATTGGCCTTCAGGCTTACCTATAATGAACAACCAACGCCAGCCCGCTATGCGACCGTCGGTGTGCGAAATCGCAAATGCCAGAAATCCGCCAACAAAGCCGCTCAACTGACCAAAAGAGTAGAACGCAGCGACGCGTCGCGCCATCTGGTCTGGACGGAACCAGAATGCGAGATAGTAAATGATGCAAGGATAGTATCCTGCTTCAGCAGCTCCCTGCACTGAAAATACGACGGTCGTTACTATCTTAGATTTGGGTGGACCATGCGGAGGACTCACAGACTCGGACTGCGATGAGATCACCGTATTTTTGGACCGCACCTACGCAGCCGCAGATGATGCCCCATGTGACCATCAGGCGACTGAGCCAGAAACTCGGGCTATGGGTCTTTCGCTCAGCGCTTCGAGTCTGAAAGAAAGGAAAGAGCGTACGTTGTCTTTTTCATCATCAGTGTTGACGCGGGTTCCAGGAATGCGTATGGGTAAAAGAAGCAAGCTATAACCCAATTCCATTGGTTTGGACTGAGTTTGAGCTGGGCCTTGATGTCATGATTCTTTTCAGCATTCATAATCGCAGAGTTCGTGATGTTATTAGCGTCAGTCTTCATTACAAGATAGGTGAAGCAAAGCCAAGGGATAATCCTGATATCTATAATAACGTCAACTCAGCGACATCGGCAGTTGCAACAGCCTAGTGGAACTAACCAATCTTGCGTTGAATCCGGCGTATTTCCGATGGAGAAGCGCTGTGGCGTTTCTCCTCAGTTGAAGCTAGTTCCTCTTTGTGAAGGGATGAGGACAACGCCTTGGCGGACGTAGAGGCCATGTTGAGCGTTTAGTGTAGAGGTAAGGAACTGAGGGACCTTAGAAGACGAGAATTCCATGTCCGGACCTTAGTAGAAGCTGGAGCAATTGACATCGAATTCCGTTCGAAGCCGTTCGAAGCTGCCGTAGCTAGCTAGCTATCATGCTGTAATGATTAACGATATAATTTTACGTGATTCTTCAATATAAATATCCTTTGACCCAGCGGGTCCCGTATCCATTAGACTCCCAGTAGTTGCAAAAAGACACGGAATGGAAGTCCGACGGAATGCAACAGTTCTCTTTACAGTAGACGTTGTAATTTTATTCGGGCACAGGTGAGGCAGGTCTGAAGAATACCAGCTGACAAAGATATGTCGACGTTGGAAGAAAGCTGAAGAGAGTTTGCATATTCTGATAAAGTTTACAGACCGGGCCGGCAGCCGGTCTTCATTTCCTTCAGGCCAGTCAACCAGTGTGATCGGCGGTCATGACCAAAACTTTTGGATGGCGGTCGACCAATGTGTATAATTTCCACGACTCACGAAGGTTTCTATCTCTATCCCCAGTTCTAAGGATCTGATTGCACTGTGAAACAATATTATCCCGATATTCCAACATAAGATCCCATCGCCCGAACTGAATTTAGGACAATTCACAAGCCGAAATCGAATTCACTGCAACTTTCGATAGAGCGTGGGTTGACCTCACCCCATGATCTTTACAGGATTATCTTGACCGATTTTGGCGGACCGGTGCTTGGAGCTGCACTCTCGCGATTACTTCGACATGGGCACATCTCTGCTTCGCATGTTCCTGGAATTCCCTTTTCCCTCGAGCTTACGCCTACCACCATGCCCTCTCTTACGAAGCCTTCACTTGAATTCTTTACGCATCCTAATGAGACGTCTGTTCCGCTTGATTGGGCTTCTTTGGCCATCATCGACTTGTCCAAGTTCGAGACTCCTGGTGGCAAGGAGCAGCTCGCCCAAGATCTGAGGAATGTTCTCACGAAGTGGGGCTTTTGGGTCGTCACTGGCCATGACATCGAGGAGAAAGAAGTCGACATGCAGCTTGCTATCGGCAACACTTTCTTCAAACAATCCCTTGAGGAGAAGAGGAAAGTTGTTTGCGATTTTACCGTTGGAAAGTAAGTCATATCACGGTGGTTATGTAGGGACAGGATATCGATAAACTTTTCTTTGCTGCGCAGCAACTTCGGATACCGTGAACCAACACGTCTCATTGGGAATACAGATGTGAAAGAAAACATGGAAGCGGTATGGCCCCTAATTCATACCTACATCTCATTGATATCTTACAGCTCAATATTCCAAAATACATCCCACATTACGCTTCTGTACCAAGGCATGATCTCATCAACCGATTTGAAGATGAAATCGCACCCTTCTACCGGAAAGTGTGGACCAATGTGATTCGAAGACTCTTCATCCTCTTCGCCATCATCCTCGAGCTCCCCGAAAACTACTTTGTCGACCGACATCACTATGACTCTCCTTCAGAGGACCACCTCCGTTATGTACGCATCACACTATTCACGATTCTTCGCCACAATTTCTGAATCGAAGTCTTGATAGATGATTTACCACCCGCGGCCACATGAAGAGGACGACAAAACCGGTGATCAATGGATTGCTGGCCATACTGACTTCGGTTCCCTTACCCTCCTCTTCTCACAATGTGTCGCTGCGTACGTTTTCCAAATTCATCTCTTTATCCTATGACTTATCAGCCCCCCACAGCCTCCAAGTTCGTACACCTGCCAACGAATGGAAATGGGTGAAGCACGTTAAAGGCGGGATCATTTGTAACGCCGCTGATACACTTTCCTTCCTCACGAAGGTACAAATTTTAAAAACCCTGGTTTGTGAAATCAAGTCGAATTTACTAACATTCTCTCAGGGCTACATTAAGAGCGCCGTCCACCGTGTCGTCCGCCCACCCGCAGACCAAGCGCATCTTGAACGTCTAGGCCTCTTCTACTTTGTCCGTCCAGGGGACAGTGTCCCCATGGTTCCCGCCCCGAGCCCTATACTTATTCGTGAGGGCCTTCTGACGGAAGTGGACCTTACTCCGCAGGAAGGAAAGGTCACCGCTGCCGGTAAGCAGTATTCTCTTATCAATGTCTATTCCTCTTCCCAACTCGCTATCTAGAATACGTGCGAGCACGTGTTAAGAATGTAAACGATCGTAAGCAGACGCGAATCGCCGATCAGAACGCGGAGGGGCTATTCAAGGTTAAGAACCTTGCTGTGCAGGATTATTATGTTTAAGAGGATATCAGCTCGTGGAGGATCTCCCTGAGTGTATGACGATCATGACTACAACAAAATGTCCATGATGTCCATATTTTGTTGACGTCATGTAGCGAGGAACGTGATCTATCGGGATTGTGGCGCATTCAGAAGAGCCTACAAACCGACCTTTGCAAGTCAATAGAATGGATGAGTTTCCTAGGTGCTGTCTTGAAGGAATGAAATAGAATTCAAGTTCTTACTACACTTTACATACTCATGGCACGCAGGTTGTTTATTACTTGTTTCGCCATTTCAAGCCTGTGGCGCATTCACAGTGAGTTTGAAAACTATAACCATATCAACTTCAACGCATCAAGGGAAAATCAATGAAACCTACCGTCATTTCTGGCATAATGACCAACGACATCCAAATCAAATTTCTTACGCGCGACATCATCCAAGTCGAGTTCAGCGGTCAACACACCCTCCGCATCACGCAGGGGACCTGCAAGGACCTTACCTAGGGGGCTGATTATGACACTTCCCCCGTTAATAATTACCTTGTTGGGCTCGGGGAGGGTGCCATTGCCTGCGTCTGTAAGGGTGAAGTGCTCATCCGGGAAATCTTTCGCCTGTAATATGTTAAAGTTTGGATGGTAAGCAGGCTCGAAGAGACACACCTCAGCGTATTGGCAGGCGGAAAGGACGAAGCACCCGCCCTCGAGGGCGATGTGCTGCATCGTACTTTGCCATTCTGGACGAGCGTCAACAGTAGGAGCGCAGTATAGCTCCGTTCCTAAACTGTAGTAATACGTCCGCACTACATTGAGGCTTGAGAAAAGAATACCCTACAAAACGAGCCATGACCGTACGCAGTGGCATATAATTTTCCCTGTGCAGCAGTCAAAGGTATACTATATTAAACGAAGTGGAGACTTACCAACATATCGTCGCCGATATCCTTGTACTCACTTCGTCTTCCCTACTTGCAAACTTCTTCTCCAATACAGGCAGCGTCGATCCATCTCCCTGGCCCCACACTATTCTCTCCATTGCTGTGGGCATGAGCTTCCGATGTTTCCCCACGTACCCATTTACCGGATCCACAAACACCACCGTGCAATACAACGTTCCAAACTCCCGCTCAATGATACCCACAACTAGAAAGACTCCTGTTTCTCGGCTGACCTCCTCGATGCGCGTGAGGGCTGGTGAGGGCACCTCGATCGCACCCGCATGGTATCGTGCAAACTCGTCCCGGCCAACGTCGGCGCGCGTGCCGATCGATGTGCCGAATGTGGAGAATTTCGGGTATCCGCCGATGCTGCGACCATTACACTCAGGCTTAATCCGACACAAAAATTGGGCATAAAGGGACCCACAATGCTTCGGGGAACACGCAGAGTTGAGATCCGTCGCGATCACGAGCAAGACGGGTAAGTTGTTCAAGTTTGACGAGTGTGTCGGGGATGGAGAAACGGGCGCTGCAAGTCTGTACGACGGACGCTCGGATGGTGCGTGGCATGGCTACGAAGCTCTGTAAGCTTGCATGTCGAGTCGCTTGAAATACACGCCTGACGGTGGGAGTCAGAAGAAGTCGGACCGTGATGCCCCATGATTACTGATATCACCTTGCGCCGCCAAACTCTCTTCCTGGTCTATGGAAGATCTTCAATACTTCAATTGTCTTGGTATCTGAGTACGTATCGCGACAATGATAAAAAATCAAAGTTATCCCCTGCTCTTGCTGGATAATTGACAACTATTTTATATTTTGCTTCTATTTTTGTATTCTTCAACACTGATGGTGAAGTGGTTATCATGCTTGCCTTCCATTGCTGTGTGAGCAAGCGGCAGGGGTTCGATTCCCCTTCAGTGTATAACGTTCCAGAATAAATCTTCGCATTTTTCGTCTCCGTTTGTGATCAACCTAAATCCTAAGTACTCGCTATATCTCTCTATCATGTATTTGCAACATTTTTCACTGGTGTTCTCTTCACTTGTCATATAATTGACTCCGACAGAGGAAAGAAAAAGCTTCCATGAGATTCGCAGCGCTATCATCGAATAAGAACGAAGCCTTAGGATCCCGATGACCCACTGGCAAAGTCGACGTCGGTCTGCTGCACCAGTGAGTTCTCCTTCTGGCTGGGATACACCGATTCGGGCATAACAAAGACTTTTAGGACCTTCTTGGCCCTGCTACCAGTACACTCCAGTTTCCCTTTCAAAGTTCCCTGTCATATCGATGACTTACAACACTTGTGCCACATAGAAGTGTCGACGTAGATACAGAAATTGCTACTTCGGTGATGGGCTCGTCTACTCTCATCTTACTGGTCGTGGAATTTTCTTCAGTTTCTTGGCTGGACACGTCATTCGTTCACTTCTAGTTTCATGCCTTAAAGCTTCGATATCTGATTGGATGCCTAAAACCCCATGGATGCCCCGCTCTAGATCTTCATGGGGCTTGCTTGGCATGACGATCCCAAGCAAGCCTTAACTACTTGCGAATCCTCTGCCCCTCCCCTGGGACTTGTAGCCCAGATGATCGAGACCCACGATCCTTCCGCTACAAGTACTTGAGCGCACTGTTCAAGGTTGAAGAACGTTCTGAGAACTTGCCAAGCAGTTTGTCCACGCTTCAACCTTCCCGTTCCCTCTTTCATTTATGCTAAGCACTGCTATTGGTTTGAGTCAATATCCCTCGGCCTCGTCATTTCTCTTGGCTCCTTCTACTTATCCCGAGCAATCAATATCAACAACGTCTACTCGGAGGTTCACTTCAAGTTCACTTGGCGCCAATCCTTCTTTCACCTATCTTACAGTATATGGTCCTCGGTGGCCACAACTCTCTTCCGTTGTTCGGGAATTAGAGATACGACCTCACCATGTATGACCAACTACCGTTGTAATCCTCTCCGGTCCCACGGATCTAGCTCTCATCGCTATGCTGGCGCCTTGATTTTGGTTTTCTTAGGATTCTATGGCGTTTAATCCGTTCTTATGCATTGGTATGGTGAGCTTGGCAATCCGGAGGGTATCTTCTAGAATCGCAGCTCCCGTCTCCGGCCGTGAGTATACCATTTGTGAAACATCCTCCAAGCCATCCATCTCCAGTCCGTGGTAGTCATGAATACACGGAAATCGTTGTTGTAACTTGACCTGTCGAATAATCAGCCCGCCATTCCGTCTCCAATCGTCTCGACGATCTGCAACTGGCGCTTCTGTCTCACGCCAGCTTGAGTCTTGGTCAAGTCAGTAATCTCAACCAAGATCTTTGCCTGTGAGGCCTCTGCAGCAGAAGCAGAGCCACTGAGGTACAAAGAACCCTATCCAAAACAATCCAACGCAAGCTTCTCATGGTTCTGCTGAGTGTTTGTGCAGAGCCCGTCCTCGTCGCCGGTGTATGTAAGCGCGCACAGACCACCGGAATCCGCGCCGTACTTTCGATTTAACCAATGGAGCTCGCACCCCCAACAACAATTTCTGGGGATCGAAGCATCCCTAATGACATTCCAACGACATTTCCAAGCTGCCTGGTCTGATACATCCAAACGGCGGTGACACAATGGTTTATGACTCACGTTAACGACCCTTCTTCTTTTTACAATGTGGCGTGTTCGTGTTCTTTCTCCACGTTTTCATCCACATACACGGTTTATTATCATAATGATATACACTGACAGCGCTTGCACGCCCATCCATCTCGGGTGATTATTAAATCCTCCGTGCTCTGCCAGTGCTTTGCGCTCGGTCTCTCACGACCTAGTTTTGCTCTAGTACAGCTGAGTACAGTGAAGAACAGATAAAACCATGGATGCATGCCCAGTTTCTCGAGCTGCTCAGGATATAGGAGAACTGTGTAACTGTCTACGCGGAGGATGATCATCTGGTTCAGGCTCTGTCTGTTGGTGCATCCGATATGGCCCATACGTGGGTCCCCTCTGGCGACACTCTTGATAACGTCACAATCTCATGACGATCAAGGACGATCTACCTCTTGATGATATAGTTAGACTCCTGCGGACCCTAATTTGACGAAGAAAATGACGTTCTTCTGTTGGAGCCCGGCACCTTTCTTTCTGCTTTCTTTGAAACTTCAGTACATATGAAGTATAGTCAACAGCCTCATTGGGTGCCAGGTTGTATTGATACTGTATGGGGGGCTACTGCTGCACTCGGGACTGGGATATTGATGTCACGCAGGGACGGACCACCTGAGCTTCGTTTACGGTTTCTTTGCCAGGGCTGTGTAGGCTGCGTACAGTACACAACAAGTTGACTTGGGTAAAGTGATGCTGGTATCAGGCCGCTGTGCAGTATACCGATAAGTACTAGTCTGTGTTTTCGTTGCTACCATGGTCCTTGACATCTACGTGCGGCGAGGGTGTTCCTGTCTCATGCGTTTCTGTACTTGTATACATAGGAAACTGATCGCGATAGACTCAATAGTGACAGTAACCATCAACACTGAATTCAGAGTCAAACTGACCACCGAAAATTGTGGATCTCCACCTTAGCTTAATTCATGTACATGCATACTCCGCAGTAAACAAATCCACAAAGATCCCACACGTACATACTTGACTTTCCGTGTGTGTGTGTGTGTGTGTGTGTGCTGTCGAGATATGTACGTAGCCTTATGCTTATTGAAATTCCCATTTGTCCTTGGAAGACAGACTCAGGGTCATTCTCGAAGACTTCTGTGGACCCCCAAAGGTGAGCACGAGACACCGGACCATGAGAACACTTTGATCGTCCAGGGATACATACGGGCTAGAGGAATTAGCGGTGTACGATCTAGGGTGCGCACGAGGGGGGACAGAGGGTTTTTGCCATTAGAGGGGAAGAGACGTCCTGGGGAAAAAGTTTCGAAAATAATTTCATGGCTGCCATTTTGAGTTTGCGAATCTTCATCGACTATCTTCGAGTTGATTTCTTTTTTTTTCAGGAGTGTTCACGTACTTGCCGGAGGGAAGGATCAGGACTGCTAGTCCTGATGTACACGCAAGGAATCTTTGGGCCTGTCCTTATCTTGTGTCTATACTTAAAGTATGCATATAGATAGAAAAAAACTGCCGCCTCTCATGATGATCGGTCCGTCGGTTGGTCTTTTTCGAACATTCTGTTCTATCTGTCTGTTTGATTGTGTATGCGCTTCTGCGTAGCCGAATCTGAAATTTCCAGTGCAGCGTGGAGGGGTGGTGATGAGGAGGGAAAAGCCTATTGGTTGTTGGCTTGTGCCGATATCTGTGATTGAACTCTCGCATCGAACTTCGGCACTGGCATGGCATCTCATCGCGTGTCCGTGAGTACGTAGAGTGCATATCACGTAGGGATTTCCAATTGTACGATACATTGTGGGTATAACATAATGAGGCGGACGTCAAGTCGAACCGAGATGAAATGATAGCGGTTGGCAAATGGCATGGTGGGGGTTCTGATGTTGTGTGATTGTCGTCATTTGTGAGTCCGACACGGTTCGCTTTCTTCGCTTGACGATGCATTCCAGTTTGGTTACTGGCTATCGGATGCGGTACCGGTGCGCGTGACCGCGTACAGGCATATTGTATTTCCTGTCAACCGCACGTCTGTCATTGTCTCTTTGACCAACTCCAGTCGACCGCTATACACACCACACATGTGTTTTGCTGGTTAGGGGCCATGAGCTTGTTTTCGGAGACTGTGGATAGAATCCTGAAAGGTCTTCAATTGGGGTAGGTGAATATAAAAGCACCGCATCAGCTGGCCAGGTACAAGGTCGCCCCAAAGGTACACAGAATCAATGACGTGTTCATAGAGGTGGGGAGATGAAACCATCCATGGATATGCGATAACGATTGAAAAAGCTAGTACAAGACGGGGGTAATCATGACAACCACAACCGACCTGGACATGTGAGTTTCTGGTAGGGGTTTCTATGGGCACGTTCATCCGGTTTGTGATATGAATTGAGGATCCGGCCAGGAGCCATTTACAAACTTTACGGTTTGGTACGCAGTCTCTTTGAGTTGGGGAGGCAATCACGGCATGTTTGCTTGGTAGAAAGTCGTGGTACATGGATATGTCGAAAGGCGTTGAACTCGGCCGAATGAGGGATTTTTGCCTCCCGCGGGTACGGAGGCGGTTGATGCTGCCTCATGTTTTTGAGGAACTTGGTTCTTCTATCAAAGACTTGAGCTTTGAGAGGATGCTGGGACTATTGACAGGTTATGAGGACTGCTTATTGGAGGTTATTGAGAAGGTGCGATGTTGATTGACAGATCAAATCTGATGAGAGGTCTACGATATGTACGATCTCATGACCTGAAAACTCTTGGGCTTTTTGGGCCGAATTTGTGCAAAGTGAGGTGAGAGAGTGGAAAGAGAAGATGGAAGATGGAGGCAAGATATGACTTGTTGTTTGTGGAGGACAATGTGAAATGTGTCCTGGATAATCGGATGGTAAAGATAGAGCGCGTCTACAACGGAAGAATCGACATCGGCGGATGCGCCACTTGGGTATAAAGGATTTCCTGCGGGATTTACGCCGGCAACGGGAGGCGGGGCCCGATTTGGAAAAACGGCCGGTGGACTGGTTCTGGAGCCAAGCAAGCCAAGTCGATGGCTAGAAGCTGTCTGGAGGCCGCAAGTGGGTCGCCGGCCGTGGAAAAAGAAAACAGAGACCAAATAGGAATCAATATAGTTATTTGATAGATGGCCAATCTTCAGGGCCTTTCTTTTATAACCCACCACTGTTCTGCGACTGCCATGGCTTTGCGCTGCTGACCCTAACTGGTGGCATCTGCGTGCTGGTATATAGCCAGCACATTCTTGTTTCTCTCAACCATCATGCAATCTCCACGCCCAATCCTGAAGAGGCCTGCTCCACTGGGGT